GGACGGCCACCCTGACGCAGCCCCAGAGGTGTGCCCAGGAGGGCAGATGTCACCAGGACCACGTGTGAGGACCAGGGCTTTCACCCAGAGCTGTCCCACGCCGGGGACGGGCTCTGCTATGGGACAGGGGGTCCCAAGGGCCCCCAAAGTCTGGATCCCCCCATGAGCATCCTGCCTGCACGCTGGGGTGAAACCTGAGTGCCCACATTCGTGCTGGCAACGCCTTCCTGACCACAGCTGGAAAAGGGTGCAAGGACCTTTCCTGGTGGGAAGCACCAGGGTTGGGATCCCAGCTGGGGATGCAGGGTAGGAGAGGAGACCCCTACGCAGGAGACCTGGTGTGGACTGAGCCCTGTGGGAGATGGGTGCTAGGACAGGCCCCAGGCTGCCTGCTGGGCCAGGCAGGGCCAGGCTTTGATCTCAAAGGTCCCACCAGGTCCCTCCTGACTTGGGGTCGGATGCCCCATGTCAAGGGCAAGTGCTATCAGAGCAGCAGACAGGGCTGGGCAGGATGGGGTTGACATGAGGGACAGCTGAGGCTCTCCATCCCCAGGAGGTGCAGGGATGAGGCCAACAGTACCATCTCCTGGCCATGGGGAGGGCTGCGATGGTGGGATGAAGGCCGTGAAAGCAGGGTGTGACATGGGGGCTGTGCGCTGGGAAGGACAGGGCTTGTGGCCCCCTTTGCGCGGGGAGGTGTTTCACGAGGGATTTGGGGTTGCACTGATCCCCATGGGCGTGGTACCGAGCTGCAAAGAGGGAGCCCAGTCCTGGTTTTTGGGCTGCTGGAGGTCCTTGGTGCAGGTTGGACATGGGAGTCCTTGCACCAGCGATACCAGGAGGACAAGGAGGGGGAGCATCCTGCTCACCCCTTATCTCAACCCCAGAGACTGAGACGCCTTCGGAGATGGCAGACCAGCCAGAGCGCCTGCGGTCCCTTGGTTGGGGGACTTCATGGCTCCTACCTGCTCTTCCCTTGGGCCACCCCTGCAGGACCCATCCTGGGCGCTGCACCTTGGGGTGATGGTTGTTGAGCTCCTGTGACCACGAAGAGCCTCCTGACCGGCCAGAACCTGGCTGGGACCTAGCCACGCCCTTTGGGAAGTGAGGACACCCCGCTTCGCTCGGGGAGCTTTGCTGAGAGACGAGTGCATCACAACTCAGGTATTACTGATGTTCCTTCATCACTTACAGCCTCTCTCTTCATTTAACTGCCTTTACATCCATTTAACTGCTACCAAATCCTCGTACTCTCGTGTCTTCTCTCCTTTCACCACTTTTCTGGTGTTTCACTTATGATATGTGAAGGCTTTTAGCTGACAATTCAAATTACGTGGTGGCTGTTCGCTCCCTGCTATAATAGTCCTTCAAAAAACATTCTAGAAATGACGTGTTCAAATAATCGTCTTCAATATGTGCCCAGGGCTAATTTTTTTTTTTTACATCAAGGTTGACTTCAGACTTAGGTTTGTTTTCTTAATTAATTTCAATTCACTGGAAAACACTCAAGCAGGACATCATACTCTTCTGTTTTTTTCCCCTGAATTTTCAGGTCCACAAAAAAATACTATTTCTCGATGTTAGAGCTACCCAGGCAATATTTCCTCATCCAGATAAGCGTTCCTAGACCTAGATTGTGCAGCCCAGCATAAACCCAAGATTATCATGATAACTTGGCACTGAAGGATTAACCTCCAGAAGCTTGAGGGTATTTGGACAGCTGACCCACCTCACGCACCTCCCAGGAGCTGGACCTAGGGGTACCTGCCATAGGGAGGGAACCGTTTCGCAAGGTTCCCCAAGGGCATCGCTCTTCCTTTCTGCCTTGATGGAGGATTTCTGATGGTTTGAGGACCTGCTCGGAAGCTGTGTGGCTGAAGTGAAGGTCAACCCAAGAGTCCTTCTTGGTGGAAGGATCGAGATCTTAATTCCTTTGCCTCTGAGATGCTGAGCTTGGATTTCTGTTTTCAGTGCTGCTGAACTTCTCGGTGGCTGTAATGAGTTCCAGGTATAACACCACTCTTCATTTAGTCCATTGCTTTCTCAAGCGCACATTTTAATGCGTTAAGCCATGGGAAGCAGTGGAAGGAGAAGAAACGTGTGCCTTCTGTCAGTAAATCAGCTTCTTCTGTAGGCAAACCAGTTTTTACAGTATAAAATACAGGATTGTAGAGAGAAAGCTCAGGTCTGGAGTCCTGGGACACGGATTTTAAGGGCTGCCAGGAGTTTGGAAAACAGATGAAGATAAACATAGTTCCCAACCAGAAATATTTTGGTAATGTCACATGGTAAATAGCTCATCAAGGGATTGATTATACGTAACTTGGTGTTTGCTTATCATCTGCAGCTTGAAGGCATTCGGCTTTGTTCCCAAGGGATGCGTGTGAGTTCAGAGTCTGTGTAACGAGGAAAACACAGAATAGATAACGGGTAAAAATTGGGATATGATGTGTGTGAACATCAAGTGAAGAGCAGTGGAGGAGAAAGGCGTTCCTCAGCCTCCCTCTGTCCCTCTGGGAAGGGAAAACAAATGCCGTGGGTAGAATATGGAATATTTTTGCTTGTTTATTTGTTTCTAAGGAGCTTCTTGTCCAACTCAGAGCAGTGAATCCACTTCTCCCGCTGAAAACATGGGAGGAACGGAAAGCAGGTGAGCTCCGTCAGGAGATGTCTCACCAGGCTGTTAAAGAGCCATGGTCGAACCCTGTGACCTACAGCACGCCAAGCAATGAAAACATCAAGGTGGCCTCACCATCACTGGGGGGGGGCTCCAAAAGGGCTCCTCATGCTCTGGCTGCAGATCCGTGCACCACCTTCCAAATTAAGTTCCTTCTTAAGCTGCATCTACTGTTTCCAACAAGGGAAGAGACCACCAAATCCTGGGCAAAGCATGTTACCACTCTGCCACACCGCAGCGGTCTCCTGCTTCCCATGCTCAGACGTACCCAGAGGCAGCCATCAGCAATGGACATTATAAACAGGAACAGGCTTTTGCCACAAAAATTCAAGTCAGGCCTGGGTGCTGATAAAGCCTTGTCAGCTGGAGAGTCGATGCCACAACAATGGAACAGGAAGGTGACAGCATCCCTCCCCGTTAGCCCAAGAGAAGAGCAGATAAGAGCCGTGAAGTCCCCCACCCAAGGGACCACTCCAGCTGGTCTGCCATCTCCGGAGGCAGCAGAATGCCAAACGCTGATACGGAAACCTCCTGCCACGGTGGCCATCAGCTTCCTAGAGGGCTCAGCAAAACTGTCGCCAGTCCAGCAGCAGCTCTGACGGTTGGTGTCCCTTTCATTTGTGTCCCGTGAGTGCTCCTGGCCAGAGCTCTCAGACGTGTCCCCACTGTGCTTGTGAGAGTGGGTGGATTCGGGTCTGTTTAATGAAAATAACACTTTCCTCCTACCCCCGCTGGCCTCGCCCAGCAGGGGTGGAGGAGGAGGAAGGGTCGAAGCTGTGCCTCGGCTCGCATTATTTGGCACAGCTGCACCCTGACAGCGGACACGGGGCTGGACCGCTCCAACCAGGGCACCTTCACAAGTCCTCCGGTGTCAGCATGTGCTGGAGGAGAGCAGCCCCCCCAGCCCATCTCAACAGGAGGTGGGTTTTCACAGAATCAAAGGACGGTTGAGGTTGGAAGGAACCTCTGGAGGTCATCTGGTCCATTCCCTGCTCCAGCAGGGCCACCTAGAGCAGGTTGCCTGGGACCATGCCTGGACAGTTTTTTAGTATCTCCAAGGATGGAGATCACACAACCTCCCTGGGCAACCTGTGCCAGTGCTCCATCACCAGTAAAAAAGTGTTTCCCGAGGTTCAGATGGAACCTCCCGTGCTTCAGCTGGTGCCTACGGCCACTGAGAAGAGCCTGGCTCCATCCTCTCCACACCCTCCCTTCAGGTATTTGTGTATATCGATGAGATCCCCTCGAGCCTTCTCTTCTCTTGACTAAACAGTCCCAGCTCTCTCAGCCGATCCTCATAGGTGAGGTGCTCCAGTCCCCCCATGATCCTTCACTGAACTCTCTCCCCAGTGTGTCCATGGCTCTCTTGTACTGGGGACCCCAGAGCATGACACAGTCCTCCAGGTGTGGCCTCGCCAGTGCTGAGCAAAGGGAAGAATCACCTCCCTCCACCTGCTGGCAATACGTCGCCTAATGCAGCCCAGGACACCATTCACCTTCTTTGCAGCAAGGGCACATTGACCACGAACCAGCAATCTGGTGTCCACCAGGACCCCCAGGCCAAGCTCCTTCCCAGCTGGGTGTCCCCCAGCACATACTGGTCCCTGGGGTTGTTCTTCCCCAGGGGCAGGGCTGTGCACTTCTTGTTGAAGGAGAGGAGGTCCCACACACTGATTTCTGCCCGAGCTGCCTCCTTAGGAGGAGGTTTGAGGTCCCACAGCAGTTTCTGGGCTCCTTCCAGCCCTGCTGGTACCAGAGCTGGCCCAGAAATGGAGAGATCAGAGTTGCCAGGGCTCATCCTGGCTTCTCCTGCCTGTGGGCTCAGGACATGATGCCAACCCCCATTGATGATGAGGGAAGACTCTTCCGAACAAGGGACACCAAGGGCTGCTGCTAGAGCCATCCCCACTCAATCCCTGTCCCCAGGGCCAGCATCTCCCCTGGAGAAGACAAGGGTGGTGGCCCAGGTTGGGGGAGAGCCTGGTGCCAGCTCTCAGAGGGTGGGCACAGCTTGAGCAGCTCTTTCCCACCCCTCCCAGTGATTTTTTTGGGGAAAAAGGAGCAGCACAGGGAGTGCAGAGATCCTCGGTGCTTTATTGGTGACAGCTCAAGCCCGGGCGGCCATGGAGACAGGAGCACTGGTTCCTTGCTGGGGACAGCAGGCTGTCCCCACACCAGCACAGGGACACCGTGGGACCCCAGAGCTCACCTACAGGAGAGGAGCCCTGGGGCCTGGGTCTACCCCAGGCTGGCCAGGTCATCGTGCGAGCTGCTGGAGGAGGTTTCATCCCCATCACTCCCTGCTCCTCTCTCACCAGCTGCTCTAGCTGGTCCAGGGCTGGGGTGGCACGGTCACACTGACGCTGCTCTCTGCCTCCCCTGCGGCCACAGCGCTCCCACCTTCCTCCTTCTCCTCTCGGTCCGTCAGCAGCTCTGAGAAGCTGGGACCTCGTTGGGGCAGAGAGCCAGAGGCTTGGTCCTCCTCCAGGCTGCAGCCCGGGTCTACAGGCAGATGCACAAAGGGAATGGTGAGGAGCTGGCTGAGTTCAACCTCCCTCCTCTGCTGGAGGAACACGTGTGGCACCCATGGACAGGTCCCATGGGGACCAGCTCTGGATCACACGCAGATCCCAGCCCTGCAGAGCGGGATGCGCCTGTTCTAAGGCTGCATCAGAGATGGCCCCTTGGGGATGAGGATGGAGAGGACTTTGGGGCACTGAAGCTTGCCTGGAGCAGAAATGCCACAGTGGGGACATGCCCGGGTGTTTGGTGGCACCAGGACAGCTTAGAGCAAAGATGGGGGAAGCTGCCCAGGAGCAGGAGTTGAGGGTGGCAAAGCAGAGAGAAGTGTGTTGGTGGGGTGTGTTGGGGATGATGCTTCAGGGGGCATCACCTTCCTCGTCCTGAGCCTCTAACGCTTTCCTCTCCGAGCTCTGGGACAGCAAGGTCAACCTGTTGAGGGCCAGCAGAGCTTTGCCTGTTTTCTGGAGAGAAGAGAAGGAGCACTGAGCCCCACCAGAGCCATCCCCATCCCCACGTCCTCATCATCCCCCCAGGTACCTGCCACTTCCAACGAGTCAGGAACTGCTTGATCCTCTCCTTCGACAGCGCCTTGGTGCTGTTGGGCTGGGGCTGCTGCAGCCAGGGGTGCAGCAGAGCCCCCGCGCTGGAGAGCCGGCGGCTGGGGGCAGATGGGGCGGTCATGGGGGGGCTTCTCCACCACCAGACCCTTGGCTGCTGGCACGGCCCCATGGAGCATCCCCTCCACCAACCACAAACAGTGCTTTTCCCTGCCCATCACCTTGGCACCCCAAAACCCAGCCCAGCTCCAGCTCAGCACCCTACAGCCACCCTCAGGTCCTACCAGGGGTCCTTCCGCAGCAGTTGGCTGATGAAGTCCTTGGCTTGCTGGGAGATCTCTGAGAAGGTCTCCTCCTCAAAGTCCCACCGGGCAGCTGTGATGTTGCTCAGCGTCTCCATGTCATTGTCCCCCTGGAAGGGGGACTCCCCGCTCAGCCTGGAGAGGTGACACAAGGACATCAATGACAGCTCAGCCCCCTTCAGCCCGACCTGCTGTCCCCAGGAGGCCACTCACAGGATGTAGCAGATGACACCAACGCTCCACATGTCTGTGGAGAAGCTGACGGGCTCAAAGGCGACCACTTCTGGAGCCATGAACTCAGGGGTGCCATGCAACACCTTCACAGGGGTGTCTGGAGCTGCAGAAGACAGAGACCATGGGGCAGTGATCCCAGCTGGGATCTCCCCGGGGCAGCCCAGCTGCACCCCAGCGTGTGCCGGGTGGATGAGCCCCTGCGTCCAGGTGGAGCTGCTGCCCTCCAGGACCCATCGCAGGTCTTGGTGCTCTCCTAGAGCATCTCTGGGTGCCAGGCACACACAGGGGTGGGGGTCTTGGGGGTCCCCAGCTCAGAGGCAGGGCTGGGGACATGCAGGTTTCTCCAAAGCATCTTCTTACAGTCACCAGGAAGGGCCCCGATCTGGTGCCACGGGGCTGCCAGTCCCAACGGCATGGGCAGTAAGATGCCAAGCTCCTTGCTGACATGCCCAGCCGGATCGTGTCCCTGTGACGGTGACAGTCCCTGCCCTGGTCCCCCAGCACCCTCCTCCTCACTCACCCAGCTTCTGTGCCAAGCCAAAGTCGACGATCTTGAGCCAGTGGCTGCCGGGGCTGACGCAGACGATGTTCTCGGGTTTGAGGTCGAGGTGGACGACAGCCTGGCCGTGCATGAACTTCAGCCCCTCCAGGATCTGCTGCACATACTGGGCGCTGCTGGGCTCCGTGTGCTCGAAGTCATCGTCCACGATGCGCTCAAAGAGCTCCCCGCCTGCCACACTGGGGGAGGACAAGGTGCTGGGGACCCCGCTGGGGTCTACGAGCCCCAAGGAGGAGAAGCCCCACGAGGGAACGCAGACTCAGCACTCTGGGAGGATCTCACCACCCCCATCTCCAGGGTCTGCAGGTTCCCCATCCATCCTACGCCCCGTGCCAGCAACCCACGGTGCAGGGACCCCTCCCCACCTTCAGTGCTCTTCCTTGCAGGGTCCAGCGCTGCCCCCACCACCCCCAAACCTGGCTCTGCCCCCCGACTCACTACTCCATCACCTCCATCACCCCGCGAAGGCGTCGAGGCACTGCACGAGGCGCGGGTGATGCAGCAGGTTCATGAGCTCCACCTCGGCCCGAGCTGCCTGCTTCTCTTTAGCCGTCCGCATCCGGAAATACTTCCCAGCCCGGATTTTGCCAGTGGCTTTTTCCTGCAGCCGGTACACCGTCCCAAATTTTCCCCTGGGACAGAGCGAGGATGAGGGATGAAGGAGCCACCACCACCACCCTGCATCCCACCCATGGCTGTGCATGGACAGCCACGGAGCATCCCCAAGCGGCAGGGACGTGGGACCCCCACTTACTCTCCCAGCTTCTCCAGCTGCGTGTACACGTCCGAAACCTTCTCCTGGCTGTTGATGACCACATCGCAGTATTCAAAGGCCTCCTCGCCTCCTGGGAGGGATGGAGCGGGATGGTCCATGCACAGATCCCTCATGCTTTGGGGACCAGCTGCCAGTGCTTCCCCTCCAGTGCTTATTTCTGTGCCCCCCCCGGGGGGGGGGGGGGGGGG